AAACATAATTTTTGTAAAACATAATTTTTGTAAAACATAATTTTTGTAAAACATAATTTTTGTAAAACATAATTTTTGTAAAACATAATTTTTGTAAAACATAATTTTTGTAAAACATAATTTTTGTAAAACATAATTTTTGTAAAACATAATTTTTGTAAAACATAATTTTTGTAAAACATAATTTTTGTAAAACATAATTTTTGTAAAACATAATTTTTGTAAAACATAATTTTTGTAAAACATAATTTTTGTAAAACATAATTTTTGTAAAACATAATTTTTGTAAAACATAATTTTTGTAAAACATAATTTTTGTAAAACATAATTTTTGTAAAACATAATTTTTGTAAAACATAATTTTTGTAAAACATAATTTTTGTAAAACATAATTTTTGTAAAACATAATTTTTGTAAAACATAATTTTTGTAAAACATAATTTTTGTAAAACATAATTTTTGTAAAACATAATTTTTGTAAAACATAATTTTTGTAAAACATAATTTTTGTAAAACATAATTTTTGTAAAACATAATTTTTGTAAAACATAATTTTTGTAAAACATAATTTTTGTAAAACATAATTTTTGTAAAACATAATTTTTGTAAAACATAATTTTTGTAAAACATAATTTTTGTAAAACATAATTTTTGTAAAACATAATTTTTGTAAAACATAATTTTTGTAAAACATAATTTTTGTAAAACATAATTTTTGTAAAACATAATTTTTGTAAAACATAATTTTTGTAAAACATAATTTTTGTAAAACATAATTTTTGTAAAACATAATTTTTGTAAAACATAATTTTTGTAAAACATAATTTTTGTAAAACATAATTTTTGTAAAACATAATTTTTGTAAAACATAATTTTTGTAAAACATAATTTTTGTAAAACATAATTTTTGTAAAACATAATTTTTGTAAAACATAATTTTTGTAAAACATAATTTTTGTAAAACATAATTTTTGTAAAACATAATTTTTGTAAAACATAATTTTTGTAAAACATAATTTTTGTAAAACATAATTTTTGTAAAACATAATTTTTGTAAAACATAATTTTTGTAAAACATAATTTTTGTAAAACATAATTTTTGTAAAACATAATTTTTGTAAAACATAATTTTTGTAAAACATAATTTTTGTAAAACATAATTTTTGTAAAACATAATTTTTGTAAAACATAATTTTTGTAAAACATAATTTTTGTAAAACATAATTTTTGTAAAACATAATTTTTGTAAAACATAATTTTTGTAAAACATAATTTTTGTAAAACATAATTTTTGTAAAACATAATTTTTGTAAAACATAATTTTTGTAAAACATAATTTTTGTAAAACATAATTTTTGTAAAACATAATTTTTGTAAAACATAATTTTTGTAAAACATAATTTTTGTAAAACATAATTTTTGTAAAACATAATTTTTGTAAAACATAATTTTTGTAAAACATAATTTTTGTAAAACATAATTTTTGTAAAACATAATTTTTGTAAAACATAATTTTTGTAAAACATAATTTTTGTAAAACATAATTTTTGTAAAACATAATTTTTGTAAAACATAATTTTTGTAAAACATAATTTTTGTAAAACATAATTTTTGTAAAACATAATTTTTGTAAAACATAATTTTTGTAAAACATAATTTTTGTAAAACATAATTTTTGTAAAACATAATTTTTGTAAAACATAATTTTTGTAAAACATAATTTTTGTAAAACATAATTTTTGTAAAACATAATTTTTGTAAAACATAATTTTTGTAAAACATAATTTTTGTAAAACATAATTTTTGTAAAACATAATTTTTGTAAAACATAATTTTTGTAAAACATAATTTTTGTAAAACATAATTTTTGTAAAACATAATTTTTGTAAAACATAATTTTTGTAAAACATAATTTTTGTAAAACATAATTTTTGTAAAACATAATTTTTGTAAAACATAATTTTTGTAAAACATAATTTTTGTAAAACATAATTTTTGTAAAACATAATTTTTGTAAAACATAATTTTTGTAAAACATAATTTTTGTAAAACATAATTTTTGTAAAACATAATTTTTGTAAAACATAATTTTTGTAAAACATAATTTTTGTAAAACATAATTTTTGTAAAACATAATTTTTGTAAAACATAATTTTTGTAAAACATAATTTTTGTAAAACATAATTTTTGTAAAACATAATTTTTGTAAAACATAATTTTTGTAAAACATAATTTTTGTAAAACATAATTTTTGTAAAACATAATTTTTGTAAAACATAATTTTTGTAAAACATAATTTTTGTAAAACATAATTTTTGTAAAACATAATTTTTGTAAAACATAATTTTTGTAAAACATAATTTTTGTAAAACATAATTTTTGTAAAACATAATTTTTGTAAAACATAATTTTTGTAAAACATAATTTTTGTAAAACATAATTTTTGTAAAACATAATTTTTGTAAAACATAATTTTTGTAAAACATAATTTTTGTAAAACATAATTTTTGTAAAACATAATTTTTGTAAAACATAATTTTTGTAAAACATAATTTTTGTAAAACATAATTTTTGTAAAACATAATTTTTGTAAAACATAATTTTTGTAAAACATAATTTTTGTAAAACATAATTTTTGTAAAACATAATTTTTGTAAAACATAATTTTTGTAAAACATAATTTTTGTAAAACATAATTTTTGTAAAACATAATTTTTGTAAAACATAATTTTTGTAAAACATAATTTTTGTAAAACATAATTTTTGTAAAACATAATTTTTGTAAAACATAATTTTTGTAAAACATAATTTTTGTAAAACATAATTTTTGTAAAACATAATTTTTGTAAAACATAATTTTTGTAAAACATAATTTTTGTAAAACATAATTTTTGTAAAACATAATTTTTGTAAAACATAATTTTTGTAAAACATAATTTTTGTAAAACATAATTTTTGTAAAACATAATTTTTGTAAAACATAATTTTTGTAAAACATAATTTTTGTAAAACATAATTTTTGTAAAACATAATTTTTGTAAAACATAATTTTTGTAAAACATAATTTTTGTAAAACATAATTTTTGTAAAACATAATTTTTGTAAAACATAATTTTTGTAAAACATAATTTTTGTAAAACATAATTTTTGTAAAACATAATTTTTGTAAAACATAATTTTTGTAAAACATAATTTTTGTAAAACATAATTTTTGTAAAACATAATTTTTGTAAAACATAATTTTTGTAAAACATAATTTTTGTAAAACATAATTTTTGTAAAACATAATTTTTGTAAAACATAATTTTTGTAAAACATAATTTTTGTAAAACATAATTTTTGTAAAACATAATTTTTGTAAAACATAATTTTTGTAAAACATAATTTTTGTAAAACATAATTTTTGTAAAACATAATTTTTGTAAAACATAATTTTTGTAAAACATAATTTTTGTAAAACATAATTTTTGTAAAACATAATTTTTGTAAAACATAATTTTTGTAAAACATAATTTTTGTAAAACATAATTTTTGTAAAACATAATTTTTGTAAAACATAATTTTTGTAAAACATAATTTTTGTAAAACATAATTTTTGTAAAACATAATTTTTGTAAAACATAATTTTTGTAAAACATAATTTTTGTAAAACATAATTTTTGTAAAACATAATTTTTGTAAAACATAATTTTTGTAAAACATAATTTTTGTAAAACATAATTTTTGTAAAACATAATTTTTGTAAAACATAATTTTTGTAAAACATAATTTTTGTAAAACATAATTTTTGTAAAACATAATTTTTGTAAAACATAATTTTTGTAAAACATAATTTTTGTAAAACATAATTTTTGTAAAACATAATTTTTGTAAAACATAATTTTTGTAAAACATAATTTTTGTAAAACATAATTTTTGTAAAACATAATTTTTGTAAAACATAATTTTTGTAAAACATAATTTTTGTAAAACATAATTTTTGTAAAACATAATTTTTGTAAAACATAATTTTTGTAAAACATAATTTTTGTAAAACATAATTTTTGTAAAACATAATTTTTGTAAAACATAATTTTTGTAAAACATAATTTTTGTAAAACATAATTTTTGTAAAACATAATTTTTGTAAAACATAATTTTTGTAAAACATAATTTTTGTAAAACATAATTTTTGTAAAACATAATTTTTGTAAAACATAATTTTTGTAAAACATAATTTTTGTAAAACATAATTTTTGTAAAACATAATTTTTGTAAAACATAATTTTTGTAAAACATAATTTTTGTAAAACATAATTTTTGTAAAACATAATTTTTGTAAAACATAATTTTTGTAAAACATAATTTTTGTAAAACATAATTTTTGTAAAACATAATTTTTGTAAAACATAATTTTTGTAAAACATAATTTTTGTAAAACATAATTTTTGTAAAACATAATTTTTGTAAAACATAATTTTTGTAAAACATAATTTTTGTAAAACATAATTTTTGTAAAACATAATTTTTGTAAAACATAATTTTTGTAAAACATAATTTTTGTAAAACATAACATTTGAATTAATAAATTATGAACCATCTATACTACTGATAATAAATTTTTCATCATACATGTAGGAATACTCACAGTGAGAACAACTTATGAAGGCTTCGGAAGAAACAATTTATGATGTTGTATATTTCGAAGCTCTACGAACTTCACAAGTAATACAAATCTATCAATTTATGAAAATTATAAAGTTATTGTTGCTGACTACATGATAAAACAAGTTCTGTCAATTATCAAAACTACATGATAAAACCAATTCTTTCAACTATGTATGATTAAACTCATAAGCTACAAAATAGCACCAATTCCTACTAAAATTAGAACTAAGCAAGCTCGAATTCATCACCAAAATCTATGAGGACTTACTAGGGCTCAGGATAAAAATAGATTGGTCATAAAAGATTGCCTCTCCTATAAAACTATGATGCAATGTAGGCTGCTATTATAAGGGATTACATCACCCAAACATTGTAATATCAATGTAGGTTGCAATCCACACAGAATTGCCTCGCCTAAACATTACATAATTAATTAAAATAGAGGAAAAGGAAGTTGAAAAAAGCAACTTTGAACACTAAACTCAGATCTGATACAAAGAAATATTCAAACAGGTATTATGTTTAAACGTTCTATAAATTTAATATTTTAATTTTGCATACTTGCTTTTGAACCCCATCAGTTTGTTATCATTATCACTGCCATCTAAAAAAACATAAACCAAAAGATAAGCAGTTTAATTCATAATTCAAAATTCCTCTATCAGTGTTAGTCACATATCACACATCACACATACAAAATGAGCGGATGACTTCAAAATTCAAAGATTCAAAATTCATATACAACTAAGATAATGAAATTATCTATTCTCCCTCCAAACACTATTTTTGGACCTCCAAATTCCCACTATAATACATAATACATTTACATTCAAACTTCACTCAAGAAAACAGTTCTCACTGTAGCGGCCAGTATGCAAAAAAAGAGCAGAAGCCAGCCAGGTTGTACATTTATACCCAAAAAAAGAGCAAAGAAAGGAAACCAAGAACAGAGCAGCGGCCAGAAGCAATACAAAACAACACGATGGCATAAAAAATAGCAACAATTCCTACTAAAATTAGAACTAAACAAGCTCGAATTCATCACAAAAATCTATGAGGACTTACTTGAGCTCAGGATAAAAATAGATTGGTCATAAAAGATTGCCTCTCCTATAAAACTATGATGCAATGTAGGCTGCTATTATGAGGGATTACATCACCCAAACATTGTAATATCAATGTAGGTGGCATTCCACACAGAATTGCCTCGCCTAAACATTACATAATTAATTAAAATAGGATGCATTCTCAGTTTGTTATCATCATCACTGCCCATCTAAAAAAACATAAACCAAAAGAACAAATACCAGAATTGAGTACCAAAGAAAGCCATCTGTCATTAAGCTCAAACCGACCGTTATATACCACAAGAAGCCAACAACCAATACTAAAATGCATATGTATTTGTTTATTGACAGCGGTATATACAATAGAGCTGTTGAAACGTTCAAAGCTTTTTACTGTTAAAACATTCAAAGCTCTTTATTTTGTTCAACGAGAACTTTCTATTTACAGATTAATTTATACTTTTAACTTAAAAAACATTCAAAGCTTTTTACTGTTAAAATTCATCGTTCTATAAAAGGAACTCCATAATGCAAATTTAAAACCTAAGCATAAGTCAGTTAAATAGACAGAAGATACTATCACTTCTTCGCATTTAAATTGCTGTTACAGAAGAAAACTTAACAAATATCAAGCCAAATTTAATTGACAAGATAACTATATCTACTTTCATTTATTCACATCTTACTGCACTAACCAATTCCTTTTTTTGTAAATTAGTAAGACACACTGAATAAATAACCAGATAACATGAATTAGACTCCCCAGTATCTAATAGAAAACAACAACTTTTCCATGTTAAAAACTGAAAACGCTGACCTATTCACAAAAATGAATCAAATTTCATTCATTCATATTCATTCACATAAATATAAATTAGGAAACACATAAAAAGCAAGCTGAAGAAATATCTAAAATTTCACAACGAAACTGAACCAGATTTCTAGGAGATGAGATAAATCAACCAAATTTAATGAATCTAGCATGATATTAAGCATAAATAATACCAAAAAATTAGGGAAACAATAGATTAACAGATTTTCATGGTTAGATTAACAAATTTTCATGCTTTTGATATCCAATTATTCATCAACTATTCAACGAAAAGGAATATCATGAAGAAATTATACCTGTAATTGCCGAAATCCAACAAATCAAGCAAAATCCGACGAAATCCCTCAAGGAAGGCAGTGAATCACAAATTAATATGGACATGCAGACTCAAAAAGTACACAAATTAATTGCAAATTAATTACTTAATGATAATAGAAGACTCGCATTTGCATGTCTTTGTGTCAACGAATGTTAACCAAATATACCGCCATAAACAGTTAACATACAATAAAGGCTGAAAAAAGATAGTATCTTTCCAGTTTAGGAAAAATAAACAAAACTATAATCAAACTTAAATAAATCTTTACTCATAAATAACAAACAAACTAAAATTTCAACATGAGACAGGTAGTATGCTAAAAAGATCAGACCTTGGTGACAAAACTCTGACGCTGCACGACCAACCTTCTGTCTTTCGAGATCTGCTGCATGAAAGATGAAAGATGATAAAAGTGACAGCATTAAAGAATGAAATTATCAATCTTTACAGGTTAAATCAACAAATCTTTAAAAAAAATTCTTTACCTAAAACAGTCAACGACGACATTTGAAGGCGGAGTCGACGACGAGATTCAAGGGAGGAGTCGACGACGAGCTTCGAAGGCGAGGTCGATGACGAGGTTCGAAGGCGAGGTCGACGACGAGCTACGAAGAACGACGACCTTGAGGTGAGTTGTGAACGAAGGCGAGGTTCGAAGGCGGAGTCGGTTTTGAAGGAGGAGACGGAAACAAAGAGGAGAGAGGATTCGATCGCTCAGATCTGAAGGAGGCGGCAGCCATCGCTCAGATCTGAAGGAGGCGGAAGCCCTAGCCCTAAAACCCCACTCTTTGATATTTATAGGTAGATAATGGGTATCATTTGTAAAACAAATTTTACATAATGTTCTAATATCACATTTTTATACAAATAAAGGGTGCTTATATTCTTATCAAATTGTTTATCGGGCTTGCTCTTCATTAATCTAATCTTTTGTTTTTTTTTCCTATCGCATCAAAACTTAAGAACACGGTGGGATGGAATTAGGTGAAAGCGTTTGTTGTTATTTTCAACTACCAATGTGGAAATGAAAAGCCTTCAGTGTTTTTTTCCTCTCTCTCTCTATCTCTCTTCGACTACCGAATAAAATTGTTAATGAACTATCAAACATATATTTGGTTAAATTTCTATGAAAAATTTATCAAATTAATAAACGACAACAAATTAATCAAACATATCTTTGGTTAAATTTTATTTATTTATAAACCAGATACTAAAAAATATATTTTTTTATTAAATGAATTATCGCTTCGAACTTGATCATTAATAAACGAATAATAACCAAATATTAATTAATTTTTCAATTCACTTTTACACTAAAATGAATTTATAGCAGAATATTACAATTATTTAGAGCATAATACTTAATTTTGTTGACATAATCAATATTTGAGAATATAAATTGAGAATCACCGTTCATGCTACTCAATAGATCTCTCTTACACACAATCTAATTGTTGACATTGAGGAGATTGGGATAGTTTATGTGCACAAAGCTGTGAAGAGACTTAATAGGGGATATTTATAGAACTATAGATATATTGTTTTATTACGTCATTATGTGTGAGTTGTTGGGGTAGTATTGTTATATTTGCACCATACAATATTATTTGACATCTATTTTTCAAATGCAACTCATTTGTAGTTCTTCATAGTTGATAGCTGTAAAAATCGGTTTAAAATAAAAATAAAATTAAGATCAAACAACATTAACGAATTGTAGAAAAGAGGCGAGGGCCGTGCTTGGCACGGGGTACATACTAGTTACTAGAAACACCAAGACACGGGCTCAGTCTTTGTACTTAAATATTACACATCGGTCTCCAGTGTTGAGCTGGTCAATATATTCTCTGCTCAGAAAAAGCTGATACAAATCTTTTGCCCCCTTCCAAGCTTCATCTCATAAAAGCTCAGCATTCTACGGGTAAGTGCAAGTTGGGCATCTTGATATCACAACATATAAAAGTAAATTCAATAGTTATATTCTTATGTTCCTTTCCAAGAACTATGGAATGTGTAATTTAAATACCAAAATCTATAATAGTGCCAACTGGAGGAGAACCTGTTCCTAAAAATTAGTTAGGCTCCAAAATGAGAGCCTAAAATTATAAGTATCAGTGGATGTGATTAGCAGTTTCTGAAGCAAGGTTGTTATTTCTGTGAACTTTTTATCTAATCCTGAGTCTCGGAACTGGGGCTCTTTGAATATTTCCTATCCTCAACATAGTGTTTAGCTTCTACGCATAGAGCCAGGGACTTACATAAAAAAAATCATATTCTGGTTTGGGCTTAACAAATCAGACAAATGAAAAGACAAATTTCAATCTATCAAACACTACTTTTTGGTATAGTTATCCGAGTACTTATTGAATTCTCCTCTCAATAAACCTACTTATAGCTTAAGAACCATAATCTAATGATAATCCAGACGAATACTAAATCTTTCTTTCTCCTCCCGGTGGCCAATCCAGAATTTTTTTTAATAGGGGCGGCCGATAAATATCTATTTACTTAGAAAAATGGGCTGCTGAATTTCAAATGGACTGCATGAAAATTGACAACTAATTTGTAAATGCTAAATGCAAGTTGTTTGAAAATTCATGGAGTGAGAGATTTTTATTAAAACTATGGGAGACAGATTTTAATAATAAAAGACTTTAAAATCCAAATTTTAGATTACTAGGGTGCAGGTGCATCCCTAATCAACCATAAGGATCCAGCCTGCTTCCAACCAGATAACATACCATAATTTGGAACCAAGCTGTAGCTCCATTCTTTTATACAGTTTTGACAATTTAGATAAGTTTCTCTTGCAATAATCATCACTTTAGGAAACGAGTTTCTCAAAAATAAAAGAAAAATTCCATAAGGACCCAAAATATGGGGCCAACAGGCGGGACATGTGAGGTTTCCCCCTCCTAATGCATAATGAGCTTACCATCATTAATGATGGTCAGCTCATTATGCAATAAGAGGAGGTGTCGATAGCCAACTCATTATACAATAAGAGGGGGACACCTCACATGTCCCTCATGTTGGTTCCATATTTTAGATCCCTGTAGCAAAGCTCTCCAGTGAGTATACTATTTAAGAGCTAATCAGCCAAGGAATACCTCATAGAAGGGGTTCATTTTTAGCTGGGATCAAACTGAAGCATTCCAGACTCAAGCCAAGATTAAGATGACTAGCAATTTATATATTAGTTCCTCATATGTCTAATAATTCCGCATTAGTCCCTCGAATCTTTGAAATTGTTCATACATCACCTCAAATCTTAAGCGGTCTTGCAAATTGATCCTTCTGTTAGTTTTCTAGTTAGATCTTGAGACCATAATTGGACGCCCTCAGTTACCAAATTACCCCTGAAAACTTTGGTGAATTTTAGAAATAAGTAAGGGAGAATTTCTGACATTGGAGAATGTGGTTTTTGGGGATTTTTGGGTTTAAGAAACGAGTTTAAACTGAGGGGTAAAACTGGATGTTTCCCTTGAGATGTCAGATTTGATGCAATATTCCCCTCAAATCTGCCATTAATTAAGTTGAGGGACGAACTTATAAGTACCCAAAAGATTTAAGGAACATATACGAGCAATTCTAAATATTTTCAAATTTGCCATTAATTAACTTGAGGGACGAACTTATAAGAACCCAAAAGATTTAAAGAACATATACAAGCAATTCTAAAGATTTGAGAGACTAATATGGAATTGATGAAGCTATGAGGAACCAATATTTAAATAAGCCTGGAAATTATTAAAGCTTTGAGGGACTAATATGGAATTATTGAAGATGTGAGGAACCAATATCTAAATAAGCCAAAACAAACTCGGGATTAAGATTGAACGAAAACACAAGTCAACTCAATCCTGACCAAAACCAAATCTGACATAAATTTGGCTAGTTCTATAAGTAATTTTTATGTCTCTTTGTGGCATTAATACCAGACCTAATGTCAGAAGCCCCACTTAACTTTGGACCATTATTAGATAACCTCCAATAACTTTCAAAATATCAAAAAATTCTAGCTTAAACTAGAGGTTACCAGGTAAAAAAATCCCTTGCTTTCTACAAAAAAATACCTGCTAACAGTGTCAACCACAATTTTCACTAGCAAAAATATCCTCTTGTATAGTTTTACTCACCCTTTTGCTGTTTTTTAATATTTAGCAAGCTAGGGGGTTTCTGATAGTTCGTTCATAACTTAAAAGAAAGATTTTTTAATCTGTTGAAAGTAATGAGGTTATCTAATAATAATAGTGCTGTGTGTGTTTAATGATAAGTTCTCATTAACATTCTGATTTCTAACAAAATTTATTCTGAGCCCACATTCTTCTACATCACAAGTACAGCGAACCAATCAATCTAATTGGTTAGCAAATAAAATACACAACAGATACAGATTTTTATTAGCCCACAGTGTGTAACCATTACTTTACCCCATGAATCCAGTCAAAACCCCCATAGTTTCAAGAGCCGACACCAATTAAATAAAAGCAATCCCCAACCAATTAAAGTCACTCTACCACGACCACAAAACATTAATTAAACCTCCAAAGTTAAATTAAATATAAAGGTGAAGCACATTACAACTCCCAACACCATAACAAGAGTCAAGTTTCCCTCGCAAACGCCGCTCAAAGCACTTAACACGGCAGGTAAGCTTTTCTCAAAGACCCACACAACTAACTCACAAAAGCAAGCAAGCAAACACTAATCAAGACCCTCAGCATGCTCATTTTCTTTAGCACCGGGGTCTCTCAATTCATTAAAAAAGAAAAAAGAAAAAAGAACCCACAAATTATATGATTTATAATTGGCCATTGGAGTGAGCTAAGTAGGCTAATGAACCAACCAATGGAGCATTAATGTAAGTGGCCGGTTCGGATTGTTCGTAGTCGGACCGCTGGTCGGGGAACCGGTCCTCTGAGTCAGGTCCACCGACTATGGCTCCGACCAAGACGTTCGGGTTGGGTGCGTTTGAGCTCAATGCGGCGAACCCAGCTGAGCATTGGATTTTGGCTGGGTGCACCGCGGAGCCACGGTGATGGATCCGTTGCGGGTATCTGGACCCGTATCCGACCATGTACGACATTCTCAACGGGTTGTCGCCCAGTATGTAATCAACCTGTATTTGTATTTGGATATCCAAGTTAGCAAGAGTGCAGACTCTTTGAAGAACAAAACTCCGTTATCAAATTATATAACCGTTGCAAGAATTTTTTTATACCTGACGCTTGGCAATAGAACGGAGCTTGCTAGGGGTCACGGTAACTCCACCGCAGGTGACATATTCATGGGAGTAGGTTAAGTACTTGGCGTATGTTAGCAGGAGGAACGAGGAGGAAGTCACATACTGCATATTGCTGTCACTCATTTTGAACAGAAGGCCACCTACAGTCAAAAATCTGCTAGTCAGAACAAAAATACAAATATACAACAAATATTAGATGTTTTGGAGAGAAATTAAGGACCTGGGGTGTATTGAGTTGAAGAAAATGGAGCTCCTGGAATCAGAGAACATATGAAATTGTCTGCATGTCCCTTGTACTCATGAAGTGACTTCACATTTTGAACCAAAAAAGCCTAAAAATCAGAACAAAATTAAGTTAATTAAACATAGAAAATATTGACTAGTTCAGGTTATGAATTTTTCCAAGGATTGAGGAGAGAGACCTTAGAGAGCAAAATCCTAGCCCCCACATGCTTATTATCCCAACCAAAGGTATTGTCAGACTCGTCAGCTCCTAGGGTTTGACCATTGACCTGAATGTAATCCAGGAAGCCAGGGTTTCTAGTTGCTTTGTGAAGCCAAGCTGCTCCCCATAGTAACTCATCCTGTATATTATTTACCAAAATATAAATAGAAAAGCATAGGAGCAAAAAAAAATAAAAGTGGAATTGAAAAATGAACCTGGTAGCCAGAGTAAGAGCAGTAAAATGGGCAAACCCAAGTCTTGAGCCCATTACTGTATGCACCTCTATGCTTGTCAGCAAACTCAAATACCTGCCGAAAAATCACCGATTTTAGCTCAAAAGATAAAATTTTGGTTATTACTCTGATTTTGGGTTTTTGTTAAGTTATTTACGCTGATAGCTCTGCGGAGGAGAAGTTTTGAATATGAAGGGTCAGATTTTTTGAAGACAATGGAGGCAGAAGCTAGAGCTGCAGCAGTCTCGGCTGCAACATCTGAGCCTGGGTTGCTGGGGTCAACTTTTATGACTGTTCTTGGGGTGTCCATGTCCTCTGGCCTCTCCCAGCAAGAATGATCCTTGTTTGCGTCCCCAACCTGAAGAAATCAAGCACAAATTTTTCAAAAAATTTGATGAAATTGCCTTCAGAGTTACTCCCAGAAGAAAACCCATATCTTGTTTTTTGATGAAATGAAGTAAAAAATGGCCTCAAAACTGCATTTTAAAATAGATGGGATTTCTCTAGCAGTTCCTGAAGACCAAAAAAGCCACATTTTGTTCGAAAAGCTAAATTGTTCAAAATTTTGGCTTTAAAAAAATCTTCTTAACATACTTGCTGAAAATAAACCCATACCTCATTTTCTAATGAAAAGAGGGGGGAAATATCTCAAATGGCGTTCAGAAAGAGAAAATTACCCCCAAACCTTACTCCCGGAAGAAAACCCATGTTCTGCTTCTTAAAGAAAAGCTAGAAAAAAATTCTAAATTTCTAATTTTTAACAAAAGGGAATTGAAGAGGACAGTTCATAGTGCTAGCAAGTAAAGAAATTTAGCCCATATCTCCACTAACTAAACCCACATTGTAATTTCTTTAACAGAGAAAGATGAAGCAAAACCTGAACATAGATAGTGTTAGGATGAGCAGTGGCCTTGAGTAAATAATCAGTAGCCCATTTAATTGCTGCCTTTGCATTCTGCAGCTCCCCCTTCATCAACCCACCAAATTCAATCACACTCCAAGACAACATTGTAGTAGTGAAAGCCATTGGGAACCCAAACTTCACATTGTCCCCTGCATCATAATACCCCCCAACCAAATCCACCTGCATTTTTCACACAAGACCCACATCAAATCTCAAGTTAAATTTATCAAATTACAAATGATTATTTAATTTTTTATTACATGCACTGAAGAACCATCAGAGAGTCCAGAATCTCTCCTCCAATGCATTCTCTGGTTAGCTGGGAGCTTTCCTGATCTCTGTCCCTCAAAGAAAAGAATGGACTTTGTGAGTGCGTCTCTATAGTTATGAGCAGTGTCAGTGTGATGGCCATGGCCGCGGTGTCCGCGGTGTTGGGTTGAGAGAGCAAAGGCATTGGGGAGAAGAAGAGAGAGGAAGAAGAAGAAGAGAGAGAAAGCCATTTGCTCTTGAGACCCAAACCCAAACCCAGGAAGGACTCTAGTGATGGTAACTGCTATAACTGAGAGCAGAGCACGCTGAGAACAGAGCAGAGGAGAGCTCCCATTTATAGAGCTCGAAAAAGAAAACTGCCCTGCTCTGTTACTACCATTATTGCTCTCTACTAAAGCAGTTAAAAGCTTTTCACGTCTGCACCTCTCATTTAATTAATAATTCCATTTTTGATGAGTAAGGGTCACGTGAGGTACAACTGACTAATTATTACTGAGGCTGTGTTTGGGAATGTTGATTTGGGCTTGGATTTGAAATTCTGGACATTTCAAATCCAAATATCATGTTTGGACTCAACTTTGGATCATGATTTTAAATCAAGTTATTTAATAGAATGAATTTGAAAGGTCCAAAACTATAGATTTCAAATTTCACCACAGTAGTTGGTATTTATCAAATCCTCACCCCACAATCCCAACCCCTCAAAACCCCGACTCCTCTCTTTTTCCTCTCTCACGCTCGTGTTGAAGTCCCGACTCCTCAAAATCTCAATCTCGATCTCTCTCCATCGCAGGTAGTCTCTTCCTCCTCTTCTCTACTCCTCCCCTCTCCTGCCGTCGGCCACCATCATCTCCTCTCTCTCTCTCTCTCTCTCTCTCTCTCTCTCTCTCTCTGAACCTAGGGTTAGGGTTTCGTAGGCTCCGAAGAATCGATGGATGGAGATTCTCTCGAGATCCAGTGAAGAAGACGAGGACGAGTACTTAAGACGCGAGGGTTCCTCTCAAAGAGGTAGTGATTTGATCGTTGATTTTTGAGTTGTTTCTATTTCTGACCCTTTTCGTTGTGAAGGGGATTTTACGGTGAGATTTGATGGGAAGAATGCGGAGCAGAAGCAGCAGCTGCTGACGCCGAGATCGAAGCATTCTGCAATGGAGCAACGGAGGAGGAGCAAAATTAATGACAGGTCTGTGATTTTGATGGATAATGCTGGTTCTCCTTTTTTTATTCGCTGAAGTCTGTGCTAGTGTCTTTAGGGTTGCTCAATGTTCCTCCCCCCCCCCCTTCCTTTATTATTTGGAACTTTGCAACATTGTAAATTGTTGCTTGTTATGGGTTTTGGTTTCCTGAACTGGTGAAATCTATATGCAAAATTCTTAGGTTAATGTTGGATAAATCATGATCGACAAAATCCATATCGAGATGGTCTTTAGATCTTTGGTTGCTGAACTATAGATTAAGTTATCAACATGCCAGTTACTTAGTAGCCGCAATATTTTTGAATCACAAATAGCAGAAAGCATGAGATTGAAAATAGATTTACGGGATTTATAAATCGAGATGAGTTTAATAGTATAGAGGACATGATAAGATTGAAAGTAATGTAAAGAGTATTATTGTGAGACCGAAAGTAATTCCGAAGATAACAATGTTATTTTAATCAGATAACAAGGCTATTTTGGAAATTTAAAAATTATTGAATTTTTTTTATGATTATATCTTAAATGTTTGCACATTATCTCAATGTTTAGCTAGGATTTCGGTTGCTGTTTAGGCAACGGTCGTCCATGAACTTATTGATTGGCGGGTGGCGTGGGTACCTACAAAGGGCTAAAGTGGGCCTTTTGGTACTGTGGCCCCCGTAAGTGATAGGAAGTTTGTAATTGCCTTTTGTGTTTTATTATACCGTGTAATCTTAATTTAATTAATAGGACAAAAAGCAAGAACTTGCGCGATTAGTGGATGCGTAGGCACGGTGGTAGAAACTGACTCGTTATCGTTGAGGTTGCGTCCAAGTATCCCTCGTGCTTTCTAACTCTAAATTTTTAGGATTTAGATCCTAACATTTCAACCATATATTAAAATTTGTCTATGCATATTCCCTCTTACTATTTTTGGTCTCTGTCTATTTGTATAGAGTATTGAATTCGTTATTGCTAATCTCCAAACTATTTCTGCTCCTATCTTGTCATCCAAACTATTGAAGTCGTCTCTGCTTAGCTGTCTAAACTTATTATTAGTACGTAAACCAAGAATTGAGCCGAATTTTAAATGGATAGCAGGGTTATTTTGGCACATTATCCCAATGTTTTAGCTAGGGTTTCGGTTGCTGTTTTGGTAACGGTCGCCCATGAGGTCATTGATTTTGTGGGTGGGCGCCCACAAGGGACTACAGTGGTCCTTGTGGTACCGTGGGTGATGGGAAGTTTGTAATTGCCTTCCGTGTTTTATTATCTCATGTAATGTTAGTTTAATATGTAGCACTAAAAGCAAGATCTTGCGATCCTTGCCCTATTTAATGGATTTGTAGGCACAGTGGTAGTTTTGGATAGGGGTGTCCAAAAAACCCGTCGGTCCGAGCCCGACCCGGAGCCCGGCCCGGGCCCGGCCGGGTCGGAACCCGGCTCGGCCCA